CACACCGCAGAGAGTAGGGTCACACCACAGAGAGTGGAGTCACACCACAGAGAGTGGGGTCACACCACAGAGAGTGGGGTCACACCACAGAGAGTAGGGTCACACCACAGAGAGTGGAGTCACACCACAGAGTGGGGTCACACCACAGAGAGTGGGGTCACACCGCAGAGAGTGGAGTCACACCACAGAGAGTGGAATCACACCACAGAGACTGGGGTCACACCACAGAGTGGGGTCACACAGCCGCTTTAACTTAAAAGCACACCCCCCCATTCTCAGTGTTGAGCACATGCTGATTCATAGAGTGAGAGGGTTCTGCTATGACATGTGCTGATTTTTCACGTTCATCCCTCTCTCCTAGGCCACGGAGGTGACAGACAGTGCATACATGGGCTCCGAGAGCACCTACAGCGAGTGTGAGACCTTCACGGATGAGGACACGAGCACCCTGGTGCAGCACGAGGCTGATGCCGACAGTGCGGGCGGCTCCGCCGTGCCCTCCGAGTGCCTGGATACTGTGGAGGAACCTGACCCCGGCGCCCTACTGCTGCTCCCTGGCAGGTCCGTCCCACAGCCAGGGTGCTGACCTGTGTGCATGGTCACGTGGCACACCCAGTCCAAGCTCAGCCCATACCTAGCTGCCTGCCTCTAACCTCTTCCCGCTGCACCAGGTGGGCTGTTGACCTGGCAGGGAGAGAGGGACCTGTAGGTGAGAGGTGCAGTCTTTTTACAAACAGACAACAGTGTCCCTCCCTCCCAGAACTGTGTCAGGCTCCCATGTGAGGCCCCGTTGGTGGACTGGCCGTGTCCAGGAGGGGCTGCACCCGTGGAACACAGCTGGGGTGTGGGCACAGAGTTCGTGGGTTTGCCTTTTCTGACTGTAGCACACTGCAGGCAGGTGCACGTGTCCCAAGTCACAGCTTGCTGATTTTCCAGGCTGAAGCCAAGAGTCTGAGACCTTCGGCTGTGTAGGCCGTCGCTCCTCCAGGTGTCCTGGTCCCCCGAGGCTCGTGTCCCCTCCCACCTGACTTCACTCCTCAGGGTTCCGATCGCGTTCGTAGTCCACAGTCTCTGAACTCCCCGGACTGCTGGCCAGCATTTGGACAGCTGGTGCTGGGGGCTTACGAGTGGAGCTGCTCTGCTCTCTGGGACAGCTCTATAGGTCACAGGGAACACCAGCAGTGTGCTGTCCTGCTGGCCCGTGCCCTCGGCGTGTCCATTCCCCGTTCACACTCAACGACCACACGCGATGCTCCATTCTGCATGGTTCGAGTGGGGTGACCTCACAAGAAGGGTGATGTACCCTCCCTGCTCCTGCTCTCTGCTGGCTTATCCCACGAGGCGTTTTCTTCCCTAACTCTCAGGAGAGTTTGCTGGGAAGCCAGCTGGGCCTGGAATCGTCTTTTATTCATTCCCTCCTTCTTTAAAGCGACACTTTACTCCACTCAGCATTCTGTAGCCACTGCCTCTGTCCATTCCAGATCACTGTCACCTTCACCAATAGGGTGGGGTGGGGGGCTCGGGGGCCTTTCTCCACATCCCCTGTCAGAAGGTACCCTCCCTTGCAACATTTCGGGAGCTGCCCTGGGGCAGGGGTGGCAGATGGGCTTTCTCTGGGCCCTAGAAGCGTCCTCTACCATACCTGCCTCCACTCAGGCATTTTCTCTCCTGGGATCTAGGTGTGGTGATAAAATAAACCCCAAATCAGAAAGAACAGAGCTAGTCTCACCTGTTTCAAAATACTCGCTGTGTAAGAAGGGAAAGACTGCCAACGAGCAAGCATGGTGTGTCCCAGCCTTGGTGCCATAGCTGCGTGTGCAGCTGGAGGTTTGCTAGGAGGTGAAGGTGCCGTGGGTGACAACAGGGCTCAGTCTCATGACTCACCTGCCTCCCTTCGAGTCCTCATCAAATGCAAGCCCCTCTTCTCTGTTGGCACTGGTCTTTGCTCTGGATGGGGGTCATGTGTCTTCATTGGGTCCTGGTGAGGGCAGCTGCCAGCATCACAGCTGTGTCTGTTGCTGCAGGCTAATTGCTGAGGTTGGTTCAGCCTCTGCTGGCAGGAAATGGTGACCCTGTTGACCACTGTTCTGAGCATCCTGTGGCCACACTGGCCCCTGGCCCACCATTCTGCTCTGCAGAGGAAATAGCCGGTGAGAAGGGCAAGTCTGCCCTTGAGCTCCCACTTGGCAGCTGTGAGAGCCAGCCATCCCTGAGCACAGAGGCCTGGCGGGTGTTTGCCCTGGAAGTGTGGCTGATGGACACAGATGTGCAGGACGCATCATGGACCAGAGCGTGTGAAACCACAGCTGAGCGTGGCCCTGGTCTGCTGGCAGGCGCTTCTATGGCAGTGGACTTGCTCACTGTTCTCTCTTCCGCTCTGCCCTTGCAGACCCCACCCACACAACCCACCCATCGTCACAGTCATCGGTGGTGAGGAGCACTTTGAGGACTATGGTGAGGGCAGCGAGGGCGGCCTGTCCCCAGAAGCCCTGTGTGATGGGGAAGACCGCTGCAGCGACCCCACCCTGCTCACCCCCAGGTAACAGCCTGCAGCCTCCCTAGGCCTTTGCCTGCTGCATGTGTTGGTAAGAGAGAACTTACTTTATTTGATATTAGTTAAGTAAATCACATTCCAGATCTGTGGATTTATGTTTGAGTAGAAGGAGCTCTGGTAGCATAGTGGCTCATCTCATGGTCAACAGTTCGAAACTACCAGCAGTTCTGTGGGAGGAAGATGAGGCTTTCTGCTCCCATGAAGATGCTATGCCGCAGGGTCACTATGAGGCGGAGCTTGTATTGTGAATTGTGGAGGCTTACAGAGCAGGCCATCAGTTGTGAATTCACACATCACGCACGTGGTTTCACAACAGCGACTGCAGCCGCATCACTTCACAGGACTCACCTCTCTTCCCTTTACTGCCTGTTGCTTTCAGCCTTTCCTTAAATCAAGCCTCCGCATTAGCTCCCCAAAGCCTTAGGACCCAGCACCCCAGACCAGGCTCCCTGGGTTCTTGGTAGTTCAGCAGGCAGAGCCCACTTCTAAACCCCATCACATGGGCCAGTTGAGTGCACACCGCCTCTGACTCTGGTGGTTATGGCGCTGCTGCTGGGCATGGGTGGTCCCACTTGGCACCATACCCATGTGGCTTTATGGCGACACTCTGGGCAGGACTTCCTTTCTCTAAGCATCTGACGGGGGCCAGGAGATCAGGTCTGCGCTGACCCTTGGGCTGTACTGGTGTGTCTCACCTGCTGAGGCCAAGGAGTCAGCTGTGAAGCTGGGCACCAGCGCTTCCAGGAGGAGATGTCTCTCCTGAACTGACTTCTCACCGCTCCAGCTCCGGCCCGCTTGCTGCCAAACTGCACAGCATCCTCACTGATGAGGCCTTTGAGTTTTACTGTAGCCAGTGCCACAAACAAATCAACCGCCTTGAGGACCTTTCTGCCCGCCTGAGTGACCTTGAGAGGAATAGGTGAGAGGACAGGAGCCTTGGAGCGTCTTTGTGCTGCCTGGTCCCCTGCATGCCATGGTGCCTGCGACCCGCCGCCCCTGTCCCTGTGCATGCGGCCATCTGACCTACTGTACCCCGTGGGAGGAGGCAGTCTTCACTGTCAGGAGACCCGTTGTGAGATGTGGACCCTGAGTCACGATGTTCCCTGTTCCTGAGATTTCCTGAGACAGGAACCCAACATATGGTGTGGCCTCTAAAGTGGGGGTGTGCTTGGCTCTCAGGAGCGCACTGTGTCCCCAGGTGCGTTTCCGAGGCTGCCTTGGACTCGATGGCTGGTAGGACTGTAGCTGTTACTGACCTTGGTACACGCCTCTGTCGCCCCATGGGTCTCTTCTCCAGCTCTTCATCTCGTTTCTGTTCCCCGTGCCCAGTGTAAACCAAGGCTCCAAATGGAGGCAGACATCACAGGTCCCAGCTACAGGTCTCTGTGTTTGCTGACTTGTGACTGGAACACTGCTGGCCCCAGTGAGAAAAGACTGAGGTGGCACTTGTCCTACGGCCCGGGCTGGAGGGAAGGCATTGTGGTGCCAACATGTTCTGGGTCCTTTCAAAGCTGCGTGCCAGGTGCACGATTCTGTCCCGCTGGTCCTCAGTGAGCCCCTCAGCCTCGGCCCTGCCAGACCTGTCTCCCATTCCAGGGTGTTTGGCGTCCTTCCGTCAGCTCCTGTCCTGCAGCACCATGGTACAAGGACAGGATGGAGCCAGACTGTGGTCAGCAGAGGAGCTCGGGGAGGACAGTGGACAGGACAGTGAACGGGCTTGGCAGAGTCCTTGAGGGAGGGTGATGGAACATTAGGCCCCAGTAGCCTTGCTGAGAATGGAGCTAGCGCCCTCAAGTGGGCCTCTGGGGGTTTCAGCACCTGGTGACTGCGGAGACCCTCAGCTTTTCTCCCTACTGTGCAGGCTTCCCAAGCGTGTCCTGAGGGGCCATTGGTCCTTCCCCTGGGTGGACTTGCCCATGACTGAGCACAGGGTTACTTACAGGTGTGTTGTCTTCGTACCTGAAAGCAGCCTGGAGGGGTAGCGCCTCTCCTCAGTCTCTAAGTCCTTGATCACAGAAGTACTTGTTTTCACTTCACAAACTTGCCCCAAGGTGATGTGGCCATCTCTGCATCGCTTTATGACTGAGAGTGGCCAGCTGCAGGCCTGCCCCTAAGAGAGAAACTCCACCAAATCCCACCCATACCCCGAATGCTGGACTGAGGAGCGCCAAGTCCTGCCTGCCTTTTGCCTTGGAATTGCCTCAAATCCAAGGATACGGTTGTAATTTGTAGTAACAGAAGGTGACTTGATCCAGCTGTATCGTATCCAAAAGCTTTGGCATCAGGTGCAGCGTCTACCTTGTGAGTCTCAGAGACACGCAGACAACCGTTAAGATTCTGGACACCTGAGGCTTTTCTGGAGGCATTTGTCTTGCTCACCCAGAAGCACAGACCCTGAGGGCTGGTGGGGAGCCAAACAAGTCTTGAGTGTGTCAGGGTGGACTCAGATTCATCTTAGGGCGGAGTCAGGAGAGGAGAATGTGCCGGAGTTTGAGCAGAGAAGCAGTAATGTAGAGAATTGCTAATTTTTAACAGGATTGGAGGAATGACGCATGGGTCTGTCAGAAATAAAGTTCTAGAGCATTCAGCAGTAACCCTCTAAGGAACAGCTACCACGCCCAACCCTGAGCTGGAGCCTCAGCAGTGTGGCCGAGCCACTACTGTGTGCTCTGCTACTGGACTCCTAGAATCGTGCTCTCCAGGTTGCAGGGAAAGCTGTTCACAGGGAGGGTCTCAGCACAGGCACCACATTACAAGACCCCCAGGGAGTCGCTGGGAACGCTGCTGATGTGGGTGCTACCAGGCTGACCCGGCCATGGAGCATCCCTGGACCAGGAAAAGAGCCTGCCTCCTGAACTGTCTCTCCAGCGCCCTCTGCTGAGAACATTTAGTATCACAGAGGAACAGTAAAGGGCTCAGATCCCTTTCCACAGAGCAGGCAGGAGTGGAGCTGAGAGGAAATGAATTGATGATAACTGATCCCCAGATAGATTCCTTCTGTGCCTTAGAGAGCATCAAAGGTGTGTTTGAGACAAGCAAGCTGGAGAGGATTGTAGTGTGGCTGCTGCTAAGGGTGGGGCAGTGACTCCTTGTGTTAGGGGATGGGAATGCTTTCATAAGTTGAGGTAATAATTTATTGTTAAATTGGAAAATAACTTTGGGCATCAGAAATCAGAACTAAGTTAAGTTTGGCATTGTTTGCCTCTAGAAATGGTCAATGAGAAGGGCCAGGTGTAGCTGACCAGGTTCTGCCTTGCAGTGGTGGAGGAAATGTGTTTCAAGTTTCTGGTCAGTGTGAGGAATCATGGCAGGCCCTTGTCTCTTTCACTGTGGTGGGCCCTCTGGTGGCTTTGTGTTGGGAAGGTGGCGATGTGGCTTGGCATTGGAGCACAAAGCACTTGGGACATGATATTGGCCTCCTGTGACGATAGGGTAAGTACTAGACCTCAAGGTCGCTGTGAACCTCAAGGTGATGGTTCAAAACCATCGGCCACTCCTTGGAAATCCTATACGGAACGGACTCGATGGTGCTTAAAAATGACAGCAACATTGGCCCAGGCAGTGGGGACAGCCGCTGAACTGAGGTCGGGTTCCAGTCCCAGGGGAAGGCGTTGTTGGGGATACGATATGGTGTCCAGGAGGCCTTGAGTGAGACTCTGGGCCGCTTCTTGCCTTGAATGCCGTCCGATGGGGTTCTGTTCATGGGGCTTGCCTGGGGTACCAGGTGCTGCATGCCTGTCTGCACTACTGGACAGAGTGACTCCTCCCCTCCCCCCATATCTCTTCCTTGTCTGATACTGTTTTCCTGTTTATGTTGGTTTTGTGCAGCCCAACAAGGCGACTTTCCAGCAAGAAGGTTGCAAGGTAGGCAAAAAACTTTACTGTTTATTGAAGAATGTTCTCCTGACTCTATTATCCAGTAGAGCCTTTCAAAGAGCATTTAGAATGTAGTCTTCTCTAGGTGTTTAAGAAAACTAAAAATTCTTTCCTAGCGTTTGGAAATTGAAACAATTTGAGGGAACCAGCGTAGGAACTGTTTCCCAGGACTTGGTTTTGAACCAGGGCTTGTGGCTGGGATGTGTAGCTGAAGCCTTCAAGCATTCCTTATTTATTGGGTCTACGGTGTGCCATGAGTCCTGATGTGGTACTGTAGGGTAAGTACTGGACTGCTAACTGCAAGGCCCGCAGTTCAGACCCAGCAGCCACTCCTTGGTATGAGTCAGCATTAACAACAACGCTGTCGCCAGAGTTTCTCGTTGAGGGGTGGGGGAGCATGTTAGGGGGGCAGTCAGAGAAGTCAGCACATTCCAGAGCTGCCTCTGCCCTGTGACGAGGGTGCTAATACAAGATTCCTCCATGACCCCTGATGTGTTCCTTCCCTCACCTCTCACTGTTAGATGCTTCTCAGGGTTCTTGTCTGAAAGAGGACAGCCTGCTTCCCTCCTCCCTCCCTCCATTGTAGTTCATGGCACTTCACATCGCTCCTCCTTGCCTCCAGCCATGCTCACTGCCTTCACTCTGATGCCAGTGGCCCCTCTCATAGCCCCTTTGTTGGAACCCCACACCTCCTCTTGGCTCTGGGTTTGCTTCATGCCATAGCCATGGGGGCTTCCTGTACCCCATCTCCCTTCTCAGTCCCACTCTGTTGTTGCTATAGCCCATCTTCTCATAAGAAATGCTGTGTGTGGGAGATAAATCTTGGAGGCCTTGCTTGTTGCAAAGGGTGGGTACTTCCCTGCATGGAGCTCCGAGCAAAGATCATCATCTCCTTTGGGGCTAACCTGAGGGGCTTTCTCATGCCTGGTGTTTGTGACAGCTTTCCTTTCTTGGAAGCATATAGGGTGTGTCACTTTGTCATACTGTGGTGGCTTGTGATTCTAGAAGCTATGCCACGGGTATTTTAAACCCCAGCAGGAGCACCCACAGTGCACAGGTTTCAGCTGAGCTTCCAGATGAAGATAGACTACTTCCGAATATGTAATCACTGAAAACTTTATGACTAGCAGTGGAACACTGTCAGCACCAGAATATCGACTATTGAAACATGATGACAAGCATCAGAGTATTGTCAGAGATAGTGCCGGAAGATGAGCACCTCAGAATGCGACTGCTGGAGCCGCCTCCGCAGAGTAGAGTTGACCGTGACGACACGAATGGGGTAAAGCCCTCGGAGTTTTCATTTGCTGATGGGGCACAACTCAAAAGGAAGGGAAACAGCTGTACAAATCCACGAATAATCAGAACATAGACTGTTTGAAGTATGAATCTAGGAAAATTGAAAATGATCTAAAATAAAATGGAACGTATAAACATCTATATCCTAGGCATTAGTGAGCTGAAATGGATTGGTACTGGCCATTTTGAATCTAATAATCATGTGGTTTACTCTGCCGGGAATGCCAAATTGAAGAGGAATGGCGTCATATTCATCATTAAAAAGAGCATACCAAGATCAGTCATGAAATACAGCGCTGTGTGTGATAGGGTGATATCTATATGCCTACAAGAAAGAGCAGTTAATACCACCATTAGTCAAGTCTACACACCAACCACTAAAGCCAGTGAGGATGAGATTGAAGAATTCTACCAACTTCTTCAGTCTGAAATTGATCAACCATGCAGTCAAGGTGTATTGATAATTGCTGGTGATTGGAATGCAAAGGTTGGAAACAAAGAGGAAGGAGCAGTCGGTGGAAACTACGGCCTTGGGGATGGAAACCAGGCTGGAGAACGCATGACAGATTTTTGCAAGATTTCCTTCATTACAATTACCTTTCTTAAACACCATAAACGATGACTATACACGTGGACCTCACACAGAAATTGAATTGACTACATCAGTGGAAAAGCTCCATGGTGGTGGTGGTTATGTGCCGTGGAGTCGGTTCCGACTTGTAGCAATCCTGTACAGGGTTTCCGAGGCTTTAAATTTTCACAGAAGCAGAAAGCCTCATCTTTCTCCCATGGAAAAGCTGGTGGTTTCGAACTGCTGACCTTGAGATTCGCAGCCCGATTCATAACCACTCCACTACCAGAGCTACTTATCACCAGCCAAAGTAAGGGTGGGAGCAGACTGTGGAACAGATCCATTGCTCATATACAGATTCAGGCTGAAGCTGAAGACGATGGAAACAAGTCCATGAGAGCCAAAGTATGACCTTGAGTCTATCCTACCTAGATGTAGAGATCATCCGAAGAACAGATTTGATGTATTCGACACTAAAGACCAAAGACCAGAAGCATTGTGGGATGAGATCAAGAACATCAAACAGGAAGAAAACAAAGTCATTGAGAAGAGAAGAAAGAAGGAAAAGACCAAAATGTCAGAAGAGACTCTGAAACTTGCTCTCCAGCATAGAGATGCTAAAGCAAATGGAAGAAGTGAGGAGGTACAAGAGCTGAACAGAACATTTCAAAGGTCAGCTTGAGAAGGCCAAGTCAAATATTATAATGAAATGTGCCAAGACCTAGAGTTAGAAAAGCAGAAGGGAAGAACTTGCTCAGCATTTCTCAAACTGAGGTAACTGAAGACAAAATTCCATCCTCAACTTGTGATATTTAAGGATCCTCTGGGCAAATTATTGAATGATGCAGAAAGCGTCAAAAGAAGATGGGAGGACAAGAAGAAACAGGTTGCTCACCCAGGAGACATCAAGCACGTGGTCAGGTCCCCTCAGGGCAAGTCCCCTTCCAAGACTAAGACTCAGTGGGAATACATGCTCCGAGTGGTGACCATGTTTGTCACAGATAAGGGGAAAGTGAGGGAAAAACAGCAATGAAGCTGCAAGCTAAGCCCTACAATGTTCAGTTGACTCCTGCGAACCTGGATAGAGACCTGGTTGGCCAGCAGTGTGGCAAGACCTGGGGACTCTTGGGCCCAGAGTCATTGACATGGCCACAGAGGACTAAAGTGGAGAGTGAAGCGTGCAGCTGATAAGAAGAGAGGGCATATGCACAAGAACACCCACACTTGCAGATATAATTCCCAGTTGACCTGGCTTCAGTGACTGGATGATCAGAGCTCAACTAGAAGAGGAAAAAAAAGCGTAATCTGATAACAATTTGATGAACTTGACCTACACCTATGGGATGCAGTGGCTCAAAAGAGGGAACCATTCTTTACAGCGAGGATCATTCCCACCCCCTCCATACACAGAGTAGACAGGGATGGGCAACTTGAACATTGGCTACCCAAAATGGGGGTGGGGTGGGGCGGGGCTACAAAGGCAAGAAGTGACTGGCTTACAAGCTTTCATGAGGGAGCCTAGATCCAGAGGGTGCGGAGGAAGGTAGGATCTCCACTGAGTAGTATCCAGTCCAGTCTGATCAAAGGAGATGCGGATGGGTCTCTTGTGATATAATAGTGAATAATTGTTATCAGGACTGATTGTGAGGGTTGGAAATATAGATGTTTTGTAGCAAAGGGAAGGGAATGATTGACTTTGCAGTCTAGGAGCTGAGGTCCCTGGGACCATCAAGGGAAAAGAGCGGAGTGTGGGACCCTACCCAGAGAAGCAGTGATGCCTGAGATGGAGGCAGAGACGATGACATGGAGAGATGGTGCGGCTAGGGACTCTGGACTCAGGAAGGGAGAGGGGTTGTGTGCTGACGACTGGGGAGCAGGCTTGCAGGGTATACCCTTTGGTTGGTTGATGATGCATGGAGGGGATTGTAACCATGGCAATGAAATGATATACAATAGGATGAATGTAAAACTAATGTTCTCCCATGTAAACTACCACATAATTCACAATAAAACATTTATTTAAAAAAAAAAAGATGGCAGCTTGAGGACTAGATACCCGAGCCATGGTATTTTCAATAACCTCATATGCATGCAAAAGTTGGACAGTGAATAAGGAAGCCTGTAGAAGAATTGATGCATTTGAGTTATGGTGTTGGAGGAGAAGATTGAAAGTGCCATGGGTTGCCAAAAGAACCAAAGATCTGTGTTGGAAGAAGTACAGCCAGAGTGTTCCTGAGAAGTCAGCATGGCCAGACTTCATCTCTAATAATTCAGACACATTATCAGAAGGGACCAGTCCCTAGAGAAGGCTATCATGTTTGATAAAGTGGAGAGTCGGAGAATAAGGAGGGAGACCCCCAGCCAGTTGGATTGGCACAGTGGCAGCAGCAGTGGACTCAGGTGTAGCAACGATTGCGAGGTTAGCCCAGGACTGGGCCGTGGTACCGAGTTGATGGCATCCAACAACAACCGCATTATCCCTGGGGTTCAGATGTGAGTCCTTTCCCCCATTAATGATTCTGAGCAAGAAAAGCCATGTGCCTCTTGTCTCTGGGAGCTTGCATCCCTCAGCTCTGGGAGATTCCTGACCCCTGTTTACTCTTCTCTTCTGGAGCTCTTGCCGTAGCCCCTGGAGGCTGTGGTGACCCCTTTACGCTCCTGCCCCCACTCTCTCAGTTGTTAAGCTCTCTGCTCACACTAGGGTGTGGGCTCTGGGGTCACGCAGCTCTGCTCCCCAAGACCTGCAGTTAGCTGTGAGAAGGAGGCCGTTGTGTGACAAGGACTTGGTGGGGTGTGACATAAGGGTTCTCATATTGGCACGTCCTCCTACCTGTGTGGAGGCCCCTGGACCTTCTAGTCAGGAGATCTGGGCTAGAGGTGTGACCTGTAAGTACACGGACAGTGGACAGAGGGCAGTACTCCTCAATTGTTCCAAGTGCCCTCTGACATCCGCAGGTTAGTCACAAGAGTTCTCCTGTGCCACCAGGGCACCCCTGTTGCACTCCCTCTCCCCCCACCCCCCTGCAAGCAAGGGTCCGCTCAGGTCTGCAGTTCCAGAAACTGAACAAACCACCTGGCCCAGCCATGCTGAAGATCACATCCTTCTTTCTTCCTTAGAATGTGTCTGGGGGGAAAACTCAGATTTAGAAAATGTCTAAGCTCAATTGGAGCAAAATCCTAAATGGGACCTGGTAAATCTCCATGTTCCGGGCATCCGCCTCGAGCATAGCAAACTCCCCTGGCAGAGGTGCTGGCTGCGTTTCTGTACACGTGTTCAGATGAACCTGCGCTTAATGTGCGCTTCCTCAACAAGAAAGGAACTGAAGCTGTCTAATGTGACTTCGGGGTCCAACCCTCCTCGGGAACTATTGTTGATACCATGGGGAACAGACGTGAGAACAGGCCCTGTGGGTGTTAGGGGGTGTGGGCTGTGGCCTCAGGGGACGCCTGGAGGTTTTATTGCCGCACAGTGCAAAGTACCTTGTGCAGAGCCCAGCCCAGGCCAAGGTCAGCCTTCTACCACACTCTGAAGAGCACTTGAGGAAGCCCAGTGGGGGGCAGGGGGGCCCTGTCCGCTCTGCTCTGCTTCTGTCTGTCTCCCTGCCTTCTGCTGTGGAACCTCTTCCTGCTGCTTGTCCCCAGGCATCTTCACCAGTCTGGGACCCTGACCATGGATGCTCTGGAGGCCCTGTCCCCCGACCCCGTGGAGGGCATTGAGGAGGCCATTGCTGACAAGGTGGGGCCCAGGCAGGGCTGGGAGGACCCTCACTGTCTGATGTGCCCTTTCCTCCCCTCCCCCCAGGTCCTGCTCCCCTGGGTCCCTCTTGAGAGCTCGTCAGCCTCCCATGCCCATCTCCACTCTCCTTCCCTCTCCCTTGTAGGCAGCTGTCTCCTGCTAGACAGCTATCAGGCCTTCCTGCCCCTCATACTCCAGCAACAGGACTACCCCGGGGGCTGCAGTGATGGGGAGGGGGGTGCCTCCAAGAGCAGACGGAGTCTATTGCGTTCTGTCCTCATGGGGCTGGACCTTCCCTGTTCCACCTGGTTCTCAGGTCGTCTTCCTGGAGAAGCGGGTGTTGGAGCTGGAGAAAGACAGTGTGGCCAATGGGGAGCAGCACAGCCGCCTGCGGCAGGAGAACCTGCAGCTTGTGCACAGGTTAGGGGGCTGGGGTGAGTGTGGGGGAGCTGGCGGGGGCCCTCCTGTGCATCCTGTCAGCTGCCGTGGCATCTTCCAAGTGGCCTTTGGACCTGCTCTCCTCATCAGTTCCCTGGTTCACAGCCTGGCTCTACCACAGACTCGGTGACCTTGTAGGCCAGGCTTTGTCTCTCATGTGACCTGTAAGAACCGTCTCAGGGTTCCAGCACCTGCCCTCCTGGGGGCAACATGCCAGGATCACAGGGAGGCTGCATGTGCTCAGACTTCATTGTCAGATTCTGTCAGCTGATGCCTGTATCACTGCACAGAGCCCTACATCATTCTAGCCGCTGGGTTGCCGCTGGCCAGGGAGGTCTCCTTTCAGTCTACCGTCATCAGTGAATATGTACCGCCCTCCTGGTTCTTATGTCTCAGTTTCCCTGCAGAAGGGGCTGGGACAGGGTGAGATCCCACTCAAGATCTATGGAGATTGCGACTTTGCCGGGGCACTCAGGGTCTTGTAGCAGAGCCATCGGGAGTTCTCCCCAAGTGTCGCTGCCCCAGGGGTTCACTTCCCCATCTGCCTCCGCAGAGCCAACGCCCTAGAGGAGCAGTTGAAGGAACAGGAGCTGCGGACCTGTGAGCTGGTCCTGGAGGAGGCCCGGAAGCAGAGGGAGCTGCTCTGCAGGATGGAGCGGGAGAAGAGCATCGAGATCGAGAGCCTGCAGGCCAGGTGGGGGTGGAGCCACATCCAGGGCTCACCTAACTGTAGAAGACAGCTTTAGAGCCTGGCCGGAGGCCCCAGTTAGAACACAAGGATCCACCTCATTTTCCAGGGACAAATGGTCAAATGAGCCTTATGTGATCTGGATGTGTAAACTGAGCCTGCTGTCCCTAGAATGCATCCCCAAGGCCTGGGAGTTAAAGCAGTGAGCAGTGCCTCTGCATAGAGACACTCGGGGCCAGTCTACAGCGGGTCTGCCAAAGTGGGAACAGCCCACTGCCAGAAGAGTGTGTCCTACTGTTACAGGCCTTTAAGCTGTTGTGCGTGTCGGTCCTCGGGGTCTTCCCCTTCAGGGGTGATTTTCCTCAAGCTCCATGAGTATGGGAGGTGTGTGCCTATGTGTGTGTGAGTGGGGGTGTGTGTATACAAGTGTGCATGCATGTGTGTACACGTGGTTATGAGGGAGTGTGCATGCATGTGTGTACATGTTATAGGGGAGTGTGTGTGCATGTACATGTGGTTATGGGGGAGTGTACATGTGTGCAAGTGTGCCTGTCTGTGTATGTGGTTGTGGGTGTGCCATCTGTGTGTGGCTATGGGTGTGTGTGTTTGCATGAATAAGAATGTGTGTGTACAGGTGTGTCTGCATGTGAGTGTAGGTATGCCTACGTGTTTAGTTGTGTATGTGTGTATACAGGTATACATGTGAGTACATGATTCTATGGGCATAGGCATGCCTGTATGTGGCGGAGTATGTGTAGATGTACCTGCATATGTGTGTGCATCTAGGTGTGTCCATACAGGTGTGCATGGGTGGTGGGTGTGGATTATAAGTGTCTGTGTGTGTGCAGTAATGGCATGGGGGTAGCTTCTGCCCTAATTTTACAAGTGGGGAGAAGAATTCAGATCATTAGCTTTGCGGCTCTTAGGAGACGGGGGAGGTCAGATTTGCCTCCACCCTCCAACTTTTTAAATGTTCTTGCCAATTCTAACACCACCTGTCCCTCCCCTGGTGTTCCTACTTCTCTGCTGGGTTCTATAATCCATCACAGTGGTTATACCGACCTCACAGCTAATACTCGGGGTTTATTGGGAAGTAACAGGTTACAATTCAGGGTCAGAAACTACCCAGGACACAGGTCTTCAGGCAAGGCAGCGTCTGCTCAGCAGTGGCCTGGGGCGTGCCCAAGGGTTACAGAACTGCCAATGAGGTGCCTAGAGATGCCCCAGTCTGCCAGCAAGTCTAGGTCACGGCCCCATTAAGTGCCAGCTGGGCTCCTCCTGTGGGCTGCGAAGCCACTGCTGTGTCCTGTGCTCTTGGTTCTCCTGTCATCACCATTTCTGTCCACCTTGCACCGTCCTGGGTGTCACAGCTCCTCTGTTGCCTGGATCAAGGCTTCACACTCCTGGATCCTCCTTCCTGATGGTAGTGAGCTCCAGCCCCTTTCTGGCTCTGGGATGGCTTCGTTTAAGCCCAGCAGAATGGCGGATCTGACCACTCCCTATGTTAGGGTTTCATGCACCTGGTTTTCAGGGTCCCACTCACCAGGGCACCCGCCAGGCCCCTTGTTTACATTCTGGTGCCACAAGACCTCACATCTATGTGGTCCGAACCAGGAAGCAGCAAAGTTACTGGACAAAAGAAAACTTGGCCAGCAGACGTTCAGCCATTTCAAGGGGTAGCCTATGACCAAGCACCCATGGTACTGAAGGGAGAAATCCGAGCCACCCTGATTGTGTCAGCAATAAACAAAGCTCCAGGAATGGTGACCCAACAAACTGAAGTGACCAACTCTGGAGGCAGCTCTGTGCCGAACTCGGTGGTCACCTGACTGGAAGAGACCCGTAGTTGTGTTCGTGTCAGAGAAGGGTGACCCAACAGAATGCAGAAATTATCAAATTTTACTGAAGATAACTTAAAAATTATTACAGCAGAACTGCCAAAAGTTCAAGCCACATGCAGAAAAGGGTGTGGAATGAGAGCTGTCAGTGCTGGGTTCACATAGATCTTAGCTGAAAGAGAATGCCAGAAAGATGTTGACTTATACATTATGAACTATGTAAAGGCTTTCGACTGTGTGGATTTTAACAAAGTATGGATAACATTGTGAACAATGGGCTTTTCAGAACACTTAATTGTGCTTATGTGGAACCTGTCCATAGACCAAGAGGTAGTCATTTGAGCAGAACAAGGGGACACTGAATGGCTCAAAATCAGGAGAGGTGTGCACCAGAACTGTATTCTTTTACCATATGTATTCAGTCTGTGTGCTGAGAAGCTAGATTCCATGAAGAGCCCAGCACCAGGATTAGAGGAAGACTTATTAACAACCTGTGATATTCAGATGATACAACCTTGCTTGCTGAAAGCGAAGGACTTGAAGCACTTACTAATGAAGACCAGAGACTACAGTCTTGTCTACAAATTACACCACAGTGTAAAGAAAACAAAAATGCTCATAACTAGACCAATAAGCAATATGATAAATGTAAAAAAGATTGAAGTTGTCAAGATTTTCATTTTACTTGGATCCATCGTCAATGCTCATGGAAGCAGCTGTCAGGAAATCAAAGATGTGTTGCATCGGGTAAATCGGCTGTAAAAGACCTCTCAAAAGTATTGAAGAATAAAGCTGTCGGTTTGAGGACTAAGGCGCACCCGACCCAAGCCATGGTGTTTTCAGTGCGTACACATGTGAAAGCTGGGCAGTGAGTGAGGAAGACCTAGGAGAACGGATGCACTTAAACTATGATGTTGGTGAAGAATACGGAAATGACCGTGGACTTCCAGAAGAACAAACAAAGCTGTCCTGGGAGAAGTCCAAGCTGATGTTGCTTAGACTTTGTTTCACACACTGGGCCATGTGATCAGGAGGGCCCTGGAGAAGCTTGGCAGTGACTGGGAGGGTGCTGCACGGCCAGGCAGTGTTTCGTTCTGGGGGTCACTGTGAGTCAGAAGTGACTCGGCAACTCACAGCCACCACCCAGGTATTTGGTGGGAGTCCACGTGAGCAGGCCCCCTCCAGCCAGTCACTGACCATAGGGTGTGTGTGAGTGCAGGTGTGCACGGGTGTGTCTTCAGGTGTACGTCTGTGCCTGTGTGGCTGAGTTGAGTGTAGCGGGATGCCCAGTGCTGCCCTGCACAAACTGGGAAGAGATGTCTGACTTGCCAAGCTCCTGGCATTTTCAGGAGGGCAGGGTGGAGGAGATCTGCAGGGGAGGGCTGAGCCCAGAGGCCAGTGCCTACCTGGAGCCCAGATAGGCGGGGCATCCTGCTCAGAGGGGAGGAGGGCATAGGGTGGACAGGTCTCTGAGGTTCTCCAACAAACTGAGCTGGCTGGGCTTAGCCAGCCCCTGTGATACCCTCGAACTGGCCCCGGTCAGCCCAGCACAGGGGCCTCTGTTGTCCCACAGGTGTGGCCTCAACTTGTGCCCCATGATCCTTTGGAGCCTGTGACAGTGTGGCTAAGGGAGGGGGCTGGTCCATGCTGAGTCCCAGGAGACAGTGGGTTCTCCAGCGGGTCCTCAGTATTGAGCTGAAGGGGTACAGTGCAGAGCAGCATGCAGGGCTTCATCCTGGGACCACCCGCCTGAGGGCAGGAGCACGAGACACAGCAAGAGCCACCTGAAGCTGCTGACGTCACAGAGTAGAGGGGCACGGGGCGTCAAGAAGAGAGTCAGAAAAAAGCCTGTGCTTCCTGGGAGCAGGGACCTAGGAGCTAAAACCCCTGTGGCAGCTGAGAGCTGGGGTGACAGAGATGGGAATACAGCTTGGCCTCACAGCACCTGCTGCCCACTAGACGTCACAAGGGTCACAAGGGAACACGTTGTCATGGACTGTAGCCCCGGGACACAGGTCTCAGCCTGTTCACGTGACACCTCCTACAACAAATCTGCAGCAGATAGGGGGAGGGGCAAAGAGAAGGAGAAACGGACAACCTCAGGGACAGGCTCCAGGCAGGGAAGATGGCAGTGAGAAAGATGTCTCACTTGAGTGTTATAGTAGGCTTTAGATGATGATGGAAACTAGCAAGTGTTATTTTAAAGGAGAAAATAGCTGAGAACTGAAGGCTTTCTGTCTGCTCAGCAAATGCACCAGGAGTGAAAAATGAGTGTCTAAACGCCCAGACCGGGGGCAGGAGGTGGCCTGGACCAGAGCGCCAGGGCCTGTGGGGGTGGGGTGGAGGTGAGGCTGAAACAGGGTCACATGACACTGCACACGTGTGGCAGCAGGGAGCCAGGCGGCAGGGCCACGTGGAGCGTGGGGGGAGCTCCTGTCAGTCAAGGCAGTGGCGTGGGGTCTCCAGGGAGCAGCTGGATTCCTCAGGAGGCCCCCCGGCATGCCCCTAGCCTTGTCTGTGTCCCAGGCTGCAGCAGCTAGACGAGGAGAATGGTGAGCTTCGGTCCTGCACACCCTGCCTGAAGGCCAGCATCGAGCGCTTGGAGGAGGTGAGGCTCGGGGCACCTTCTGGTGGACTGACCCATGGGCTGGGGCTGTGATGGGTGAGGTGCTGTGATGGGTTAGGCTTTGGGGCACCATTTGGAGTGGACAAGCCCTCACTTTGCAGGAGAAGCAGAAACTGCTGGATGAGATGGAGGATCTGACACTGCGGCTCAGTGAGGAGCAGGAGGGCCGACGAAGGCTGGGTGACAGACTGAGCCACGAGCGGCACCAGTTCCAGAAGGACAAGGAGTCCACGCAGGAGGTGGGCCATGCTGCCACGGCCGCTGTTCTCCACAGGCCTTAGACATCTCAGCTGAGAGCCTGTCTCTGGGTGCCAGGAGCACCCCAGTTGTGCCACCCAGCCCTGTTCTCCGGTAGCATTGTGTCATCTTCACCTCGTGGCGCTCACCCCCGCCTTCCCCAGGTCCCGAGGGCACCTGCATATGAACATGCGTGCTGCCACCGGCTGCAGGGTGGGTCGTGGGACATGGGGTCTTCATCCACCCAGAGGTGGTCAGAGAGTGTGTGATGAGCTGCATTTGTCCCCTGCAGCTGATCGAGGACCTGCGGAAACAACTAGAGCATCTGCAGCTGTTGAAGCTGGAGACGGAGCAGCGGCGAGGCCGGAGCAGCAGTGCCGGCCTTCAGGAATACCACAGCCGCACCCGAGAGAGTGAGCTAGAGCAGGAAGTGCGAAGGCTGAAGCAGGTAGGCACACCAGGGAGCCAGGGGAGGGCAGCATGGAGCCTGTGCGGGGCCTGACGGTTCCGGTTCCGTCACCGCAGGACAACCGTAGCCTCAAGGAGCAGAATGAGGAGCTGAATGGACAGGTCATCACCCTGAGCATCCAGGGAGCCCGGAGCCTCTTCTCCACCTCCTTCTCCGAGTCGTTGGCCGCAGAGATCAGCTCCGTCTCCCGAGATGAGGTAACACTGGGTGCTGGGCGCCCTCCCTGTCCCCGGGCTGTGCCTCAGACCCCATCCATCTGTCTGTCCATAGCTCATGGAGGCCATCCAGAAGCAGGAGGAAATCAACTTCCGCCTGCAGGACTACATCGACCGCATCATTGTGGCCATCATGGAGACCAACCCGTCCATCCTGGAGGTGAAGTAGGACCCCTGACACCTCGCACACGACAGCTGGGACACGGCCCAGCAGCTGACCAGCAGCTGAATGCCTGGAGCCAGGGCAGGAGAGGAGCTGGGACCTGCAGCCGCCCTGTGGGGTCCATGTCTGCCCAGCAGGACAGAGACTGTGGGCAATTCCTGCACTCACCCACCTTGGCCCGGCCTCAGGGGCTCTGGTGCATCAGGGAGTAGAAACGGGTCCCCACAGGCACCCTAAGGTGGTGTCTGCCCACCCTGGACAGGCCCAGTCCCCGCATGGGTGCAGTGGTCAGGGAGACACCCCGCCCCTTCTCCCTGAACTACTCAGGGTACGGGGTCAAGCCCACAGGCCCCACCACCAGTGGCTGCACCCGTCACTGCAATAACTCTCTGGGGGCTCTGACTGGGGCTCCCCCTGAGGGCTTGGCGTAGCAGCAGACCCTCTGCTCTGAAATTGGCCCCCGTGGCACCTGGGCACATGAACGACTCCTGCTGTACCTGGGCCACTCCTTGCTGCCTGGGGAAGCCGGGGTCCCACAGGCCCTTCCTCTTCTGGGTTTGAGTCATAAACAGTTCTCTTCCCTGAGGCACATTTGCAGGAGGAAGAGGAGCCGGGCTGTTGTAGCTGCTGCCTCGTCCAGCCTGAGCCTGCTGACCGCTCCGGGTGGAACCAAGACTCGCGCCACAGCCTGGCTGCCCCTTCGTGTGTTTGTGCACACGTGTGTACAAATACAAGTGTACATGAACGTTCCCCCCGCGTCTGCCCACCTTCCACACTCAGAGTTAAAATGTTGCCTCGTATTGTACATTTTGGGGAAAGCCTTGGGTGTAAATCAGTGTAAACTTGGAGGAGAGATTTTTCTATCATGTAGAGTAGGTATTTTTTATAGATTGAGGGTTGATCAATTTTTTAATACTTTCAAGAGAGAAAACTATCTGTGTACACATGAAATATATGTATATATGTACATATATGTATAATATCTAAAGACCCGCGCTCTGCTTTCTGTGCTCCTGACACGTGGTGCCCAGGCCTCACAGTGAGGCTGAGGGGCTGACAGACAGCCCTAACCATTAAAGCTGTCACTGAACACACAAGGCCGGCTCCTTCCTCTGCAGACATGGGTGCGTGGGCAGGGTGGGGGTGGCTTGGGGTCGGGTCTCAAGCCTGCAGCTGAGGCCACTCCCAGGACTGGGTTCCCACCAGGCCCCCTTCATGTGTCGCTTTTAGGGCCTGTGGGATGGAGGGCAGCGCACATCTTTCTGAGTCCACAACCCTGGACCACAGGTGGTCAGACAAGGTCTGTCTCAGGAGGGATCACACTCAACTCCCAAATCAAGGTCACAAAGAGGGGCTGGGCTGGGGAGATGTGACCGGCTCTGCTGGCAGAGGGACTGAGTTCTGAGCTGGGTGACCAGCCAGGTGGGTATACTTGCTCCCAAGTGGGAGAGGGGACCTGAACTCACCCATGAGGACGAACCCCTGGACCAAAGAAGAGAGCTGAGCCCTAGGCTTCCTAGTTCTCCCACTCACCTGTCCAGGGCTACTGCTCTCCGAGCCCTCACTGTCCAGTCCCTGCAGGAGCACTGGGTGAGGGGTGGGGGGAAGAGGCTGGAAATGAGGGGGCATGGACTCTGTTAGGAGCCAGCCCACACCTCCTCAGGTCGGAGTCTGGATGACCTGCCCAGGGCTCTTCCTCCAGGCAGGCACCTTGTCCCTCACTCGGTGCACCCCAGGGGTCATCTCCACTTAGTTCTGACTGTTAAACTTTACTGTCACCTAACAACTAAGTGTGTGGACGCTGCAGCTTTGTCCTTGATTGTCCATGACCCAGCCTGAGGGAGACAGGACCAGATGAGCCCTCACTGCCCTAGCCTCCCATTAAAGGGGGCCAGGCAGGAGCTAAGCTCCTGAGGCTGCGCACACTCCATGAGATGTATCTAGAGTCTGGGCTCCCCCCCAAAGCTCAGTCATCCCTTTCTCTTCTTCCTCTTGGTGTCTTTGGCACGCGACAGTTAGTCGGTTGGTTTTGGACACCTGGTACAAAATAGGGCTTAGCCAGTGGTTTGGAATGATCCAACGTCACTCACTTTCTGTTTGTTATTAGCTGCCATTGACTCACCCAGGCTGTGCCTGGGACAATGTACACCAGGAGCAAACACTGCTCAGTCCTGCGCCATCCTCAGAGTCACTTGATGATTGCGCTCCTGTATCAGTCCATCTTGTTGAGTGTCTTCCCCTTTTTCACTGACCTCCATGTTAACAGCATGATGCTCTATTTCAGTGATTGGTTCCCCCTGACACATGCCTGCTTCTCAGAAGCATTCTGGCTGTACTTTTTCCAAGACACATCTGTTGTTCTGTGAGTCCAATACTCTTTACCAAAACCACAATCCCAAGGTATCAATTCTTCAGTCTTCCTAATTTGCTGTCCGGTTTCACATGCATATGAGGATTAAAGAGCCCTGGTGTGGCACTGTAGGATAAGCAGTGGACTGCAAGGTCAATTGTTCAGATTCACCAGCTGCTCCTAGGAAACCCTGCAGGGTCTGTGTGAGTCGGAATCCGCTTGATGGCACTTAACAACTACAACACGAGACAATGAAAATGCCATGACATAGGTCACATGCAACTTAGTCCTCAAATTAACGACTTTGCCTTTTAACATTTTTAAGAGGTCTTTTGTAGCATGTTTGCCAGATACATCATTTGGTTCATTGAAATCTGCTTCCATGGGTGTTGATTGTGAATTCCAATAAATGGAAGCCCTTGACAAGTTCAGCCTTTTCTCTACTTATCATGGTGGTGTTTTTTAAGCTTTAGGTTTAGGTATAATCTGTACTGATGGGATCGCAGTAGCTCCATATGATAAGCACTGGACTGCGTACCACAAGGTCTGTGGTTCCAGCCCGACAGCCGCCCTGCAGAAGAAAGCTGAGGCTTTCTGCTCCCAGAAAGATTCAAAGCTGTGGAAACAGGCTTGCTATGAGTCAACCAACTTGGTAACACTTAACAACAACAATTTCTACTGAAGGCTTTGATCATCAGTAAATTCTTCAAGTCCTCTTCACTTTCTGCATTTCATAGTCTTCCTCCAGTCCTCATGCCTCATTCTTCATATAGTTTAGTTTCTTGGGTTATTTGCTCAGCACACAGATTGAATCAACGTAGTAAAAGGATACAACCTTCCTGCTTACCTTTCCTGGTTTTATACCATCCAGTATCCTCTTGTTCGGTTCTAAAGACTGCCTCTTTTCTTGGTCTACACACAGGCTCTTCATGAACACAAATAAGTGTGGTGAAATTTCCCTTCTTTGCGACTAGGATTCATAAATGCGCTGGCCAAGATTCTAGATCTCCAGGTTCTGTGTTAGTTTGGAAGCGCCACGGTGCCTTGCCCACTACGGTGACTGTGCTGACATTGGCATTATTAATGGGGTAGGTACTGGAAATAGGACAAACTGACAGGTAACTGGTGACTGTTTGGTGGTGGTGTGCCATGGAGTCGGCTTCCGACTCATAGCGACCCCGTATAGGGTTTTCAAGGCTGTAAATACGGGAGCCGAAAGCTTCGTTAGTTTGGAACTGCTGTGGTCGCTTTAAATTGATGCTGTGTGCCTGATATTTTAGCAACTCTGGTCCAGTCCACAGACAAAGAAGTTTCCAGTCCCCCTGCAGCACCGACGCGTAAAACCAAACAGCTGGATCCCACTGTGGGCCAACCTTGCAACCGAGTGCCCCTCTGCCCTCTACCCGCGCTCCACTCGGCAGTCTCGCTGTGGCTTCACAGGATTCAGCAATTGCAAAGGGCAACCGAAGGACGGCTGAGTAAAGGGGATGTTGTGTGCAGAGGTCCAAAGAGAAGGACAGGTATTTAGGGCTCTCTGGTGACAGGACCCTGGTAGGACCAACGAGGAGGAAACCGAGACTCAGGGAAACAACATGACTGGTTACACTGACTGACAGGCTGTCTCAGACCCTGTCGGTGTCAATAAATTTCCTGCTTTGGACCATTGAGCCCTTGAAGGGGAAACGAGTAAGAGGAGCCAGGGGGCTATGCGAGGAGGTGAAAGCTCCGAGGGGAGGCTGGGGGGCTTGTGGGTAGCCTAAGGAAGGTGAGGCCTTGAAGTGGCAAGGCGGAGTCGCAGACCCTTGATCCCGCCGACCCGCGGGGGATACAGACCCTCGGCGCGGCCCGCAAAGTGCAGCGGAAGACCCGCCCTTTCTCCCTCGCAGGGCTTTCTGGGAACTGCAGTCCCAACGTGTTCTCGGCATTACGTCACGACGGCGCCTGGCGTGGTGCAGGCCCAGACGCGGCCATCTCTAACGGCGCCGAGCCGCCAGGACTACAACTCCCGGCGTGCCACATGGGCCGCGCTGACTTCCGCCGGGTGTTGCGTGGCCTTGTGGGAGTGGTAGTCCGGCGCGCCTATCCGCGCCGCGTGCGCCCGGGGCGCAGAGCCGCGGGCCGGCGGGCGCTACGCTGCGGAGGCGGCGCAGGCGGCGCAGGCGGCGGCGCGCCGGGGTCGGCGGGACGCGCGGGGAGGCCGTGAGTGCCGGCAGCCGTACCCGACAAGAGTGGGCCGCGTCATACTCGGGACGCAGAAGTTGTGGGGCAGCTGGCGGGAGCGAGCGGAGGCCGGGGTCGCGCCTCCGGGCCGCGGGGCTAAACAGGCGCCGCCGCGCCGCGGAGGTGAGTCCGAGCAGCCGGGCCGAGGACGCGGGACCCCGGCGGGAGGCGGGCCTGGACCTGGCGGAGTGGCAGGCCCGTGGCCTCCGGAGGCCGATGGATAGCAGCTCTGGAGCCCGGTCTCGCCGCTACCCGTAGCGCCCCCTGGGCTGGACCGGGGCCGCTGAGCGGGCTGGGCCGGGACCGGGTCATCGGGTTACTTAGGGCCAGGCCTCAGTGCTGCTAGCCCGAGAGCTCGCCGCAGCCCCTGTCTGCCCTTGAGTGCCCTTATTCCTCCGGGCGGAGGTCCTGGGTGCGGACTCTGCCCTGGCCTGAC